GTTTGCGCGTCGCTCGTCGACAAGAAATTAACTTTGTCAAGCTCCGAAACGCTGTGATATACGGAAGAAAAGTGAATATTTTTTGAGATGAAATATTGTGTAATAACGTATCGTCCCGAGTTTCACGGAGGAGTTAATATGTTCACTTAATATAGGTATATGCATGGATACTATTTTTATTAGTTTCTTTTATGTCATAGGTCGATGAACGAGCAGACGGTTTACCTGATGGTAAGCTATCGGCGCTGCCCATGGACACCCGCAACAATGGAGGAGTTTCGAGTTTGTTGCCAACCTTTAAGGTATTAGAGAATTTAGAGATTTTTGGTTTGGGGAGGGATTGGGGGAAGGGGAAGGATTGGGCCTCCTAACCTCACTCACAAGGCGCAACACAACGCTGTGCTAACGCATGATAAGTAATGTCGAAAATAATAATTAAGAAAATGCCATCTTCTTGCTAATGTTTAGTTACAGCTCTGATTTTGGAGAGATATAGACAGATAAAACTTGAAACATTAAAATTAAGCCACATTCATCTTTGACGATAAATCAGTAGTGTGCATCGATGTAGATGGTACTAGAGTCGTTGATAGAATTAATTCAGATACCTCCAGAGATACAGATGAGAAATTCAAAACTTTCACTAGGATTAGTTTCAGATTCAGCAGAACGTATAGACTGGTTTAATATTCAATAAAGTTAAACAAGACATATTGTACATTTGAAACTATTCAATCTATCCATGGATTGTAAGAAAGATTTAAAGTCTGATTGGGGATTATAAATAAATGAAAGTCAATCTTTCAAGACTTATTTAGGGATTACTTTTACATTGCAGTTTGAACTTTAGTAATTGGATACTAAAGTGTGTAGCTGTGGAGGCCCGCAGGATTAGGAGACCGCTTCTCATGCATGGGGTTTCGAATCCAATGGACTGCGAATTTTTTCCGAGTTACACCACTGACATACAGTAAAGGAAAACATCGTGGGAAACCCTGAACTTATAATTTCTGTCAATCTTATGATAAATTTGAAATCTTCAATCCGCCTCGAGCAAGCGTGGTGAATAATGTGTAAACCTTATCTGTGTGAGAAGAGGCCTTTGCAAAGCAGTAGGTACTTATTGGCTGATGATGTGTTGTGATTTGAATTGGGTACTGAAAAACAACGACATTGAAAATATATGATATTTGTAGTTTTGAACTTACATAAAACTAACAGAAGCTTGACCACAACCTAAAATGGATGGTAGAAAGTAAAATATAAACAATATTATCCATCTTTCAAATAATTCAATTCCGATTCGCCGGTCCCAGCGCAACTGAAGTGCTAAAACGTCCCCAAGCCGACGAGAAATGTAAAAGTTGATAAAATCTGAAAGTACTACTTAAATCGAAGTTTATTCGAGAGATTACAATCATTTGAAATGAAATGAAGGATGTTAACTAGCCATGTTTTTGTGGATTTTAAATTTTAAGGTAAAATTCAATTGAGATATTGTAACAATATTTTTGTAACAACGGCATCGGTATAATTTTCTTACGACTAATTGGTTTGTGAGATATTAATTTTTACTATTTAGTTCTCTTAGATAATCTCTTCAAAAATTAATAATAAGACATACAGAAATAGAAAACCGGCTCGGACTGTGTGAATGAGGTTATTCAGTTCTCCAACCACCGCATTTCTATTTTCACAAAGGTTTAAGTGTGCATTGGTGGAGCCGATTACTTATTTCAAGAGAGCTAAGACCGCATTTTGGTCAATTTTTTAAAATTTTCAAACTAAAAACCTCACAAATGCAACTTAACAGCGCTCAACAGATAACTTATTCGTGTTCTTTATTTTTCAAACACTCCTCAGATTTCTCCTCGTCTCATGTATCAATCCTGACCCCTTTTTTATAAAAGGAAAGTCATCAAATGACTTTTCCCGCCCAGGAGTCTCCCTCACTTCGAGAGGAAGTCAGACTCTTACTGATTACCACCTAGAGGATACGGTGGAGCATACGGTAGCGGTATGCCCTGCCTGGGCTGAGCACCGCTGTGTCCTCAGGGAAGTGATCGGCGGCGGCGACCTCTCGCGCCCGGCCTTAGTCGAGACCATGGTGCGGAGTGAGAGGAACTGGGACGCCGTCTCCTCCTTTTGTGAAGCTGTCATGCTCGCAAAGAGAGAGGCGGCCCGCGTGAGGGAGCAATCCTCCTTCTCACGCCCCAGCCGCTGCAACTGGCGACACTACGGGCGTCGGGGATCAAGGGACGATCTCTGGCCACCGTAAGCACGGGTCTGCGGTCGGCGAGTCAGGGCAGCTCGCCGCCCGACCAGAACCAGGCCCGAGCGTACGGCGCGTAGCGTTCCGCGCGCGCCTCAAAGAGCCAATAAACCACCACAGACGGGGCCCTAAAGTGCTGATGTTCAGCCGGGGTGGCGGGGTAAGCGCAATGAGGCACCGCGACCTCGGCCCAGAGCAGGAGAAGGAACAGGGGGGTTTTTAGTTAGTAAGAGTCTGACACTCCCTCCCGCCCGGCCCTGGGCGGGAGAAGTCATTTGATGATTTTCCCCTCACAAAAAAGACTCTTACTGATTAAAAACCCCCACGTTTCTTCTCCTGATCTGGGCCCGACCGCGATGCCTTTGGTATCAATCATGATGCTAACTAACATTCAAATTTCACACAGTCAATCACCAAGCGTCTCAGTTCTAAAAGTAGCTGATGACAACACCGGCAGAATAACCCCGTGCATACAGCGATACTTGTACAAAGGTGCATCCGGAAGATTCACTGTTCGTCAGATTAATGAACTGGCTGGAGGAGTGCCAAAACGCACACAACAAACACAATATGTGTATGTAACGTGTCAGCCATTTTCGGACAACGTAGTGATGGAACGAAAGGAGAGGGTAAAATTGTTTTTACAATCTGGCATTAAGGTTGTGCTGTCATAGGAAAGGGGTTGCTATCAAACAGTGTATTTAATTTTTGACCTTGAACATGCTGTGTTTCGGTTTATTTTGGTTATACAGGGTGTAAAAAGACACTTAACGAATCCGAAAGCCACGTGTTCTACCTATTATTTGGATCATTTTTTTCTTTAAGACCATAGCTGGGACTCCACGGGTTCTCGAGATATTGAAGGTCAAAGATGTATTTTTAATTTCTTTTTTTTTTGCGCAATCTAATTCTAAGTATTATTACAAAACTTTGTTCTAAACACCTACTTATCACAGCGTTATAATGCTAAGCTGTGAACCTACGCACACAATGACACGAAACCCGTTCGCTTTACATTGCGCGCAATTTTTTTTTTATACCTAAAAATAAAAGTCGTTTCCCAGTGATAATTTTAGCGTAAAGCTACTTAGTTACAACTGCAGTATGCGTAGTTAACGGCTTCGTTAAGTGTCTTTTTACACCCTCTATAATCATATTAAATCAATAGCTCAAAATGGATAATTGCTCATTCAAAGCCTCTCCTTACACGGAGAAGGAATGAGTATTCATTACTTCAGACGGAATCATAAGGCTTTTCCCTAAACGGATAAGATCAAAAAAATATCACAATATATTATATAACCAGTAATGTAGATATATAATTTTCCCCATAGTAATAGGTCACTTAAAAAACAATTACATGACAAAAATCACTTAAAATAAACCGAAAACCTTTAAAATCCATCATCATCAAACAAAATTGAAAAACATCGTTTGAAATCAAAATTAAATGAAAACCTTATTCAAAACATAGCATAGACTGACTACAGTATACATGTTCCAAAGTATATTTGCTTATTAACTTTTCAAAGTAGACCAGCAACTTCCTCGTGTGTATTGGGTGGAAGCAATATGGTTATACGAAATCAAAACCCTGCACGTTTAGCAGCGTCAAGTTCTATGTACATACATAATACTAGCTAGCTTTCCGGGGCTTCAACCGAGGGTAATTTGAAATATTTGAATGCCATTCCAGCCAAGCAATGTTAGAATAAAAAGAAGACTGTGTCAGTAACTTATGGTTCTCATAAAAATATGTATATATCTATTTATTTGTAGTAGATGACACTGAAATGAATGAATAACTTGTAAATAGTAAAATCAACAGTGTCCGTATCCAAGTAATCGCACGTTCGGCTCCTATGGACTAACACATTTTGATCAAATTAAAAATGAGTTAATAATAATAATGTATTAAATAATATGCCTTGATGCTTCTTTGATACTGTTTGTATTTTGAGTATTGTATCTATAATTAATTTTCTCTGTACACATCTTTTATTCAAAACTAACGGTCCGCTCCCGGTCATCCCGATTTCCTCCTCTACTTTTAAAGACATTCTTTTTCATATTTCATTCATAAGAACCATTTCCTGACAATAACAAATACAAAAAAAATTGGCGTAATTTGTCAAAGCGTTGTTGAATTATGGGTTTAACAACGCTAAAACATACGAACATGTATGCTATTGAGGACGATGTGGGTCTATCTTTTTGAAACCCAATCATAATAATAGTATGCACACATGTAAAATTCATTTCCACATGTGAAGCGTATTATTAGATACAGTGAATATTCCGTCTACACAGAAGTACATTTTCTTACTTGATTAATCCAATTATTGTTTTTTGATTATAGATTTTCTTTAGGAGGCGCTCAGTATACTGGATATTCAATATCGTATATTGGAAGAAAGAGATAAACCTATTACTTCTATACGTGTAACTTTATATTACGCGCGTTTCTTCTAGAAAAGTGTTTAACGTGACTGATGTAATATGTACTATTGGTTCCTTTTATTTATTACTTATTTATTTATTTAACAAAAAACTTTGCCCTTCATCTGGATTTCCCTATATCTCCTGTGTCATGGGTACGTTTACAAATTCACACTTCACATCTAGACCTAAGACAGCTTTGAGGGTATTTTAGAACAGGGTGTAAAGTTCCTCATCCTCTTTAGTAAAGGGAGGATCCTCCGACCAGACGGGTGTAATGTCTAATGGGCTACTGCGAGACAGTTGTTGACGGGATTTTTGTATCTGTTCTAATCGCGTCGAGAACTTTTATACCGCGATGTAAGATCTTGAACGTGAATGGTGCTGTTGCATGTTGTGCGATAGATTTCGCTACATAACAATCACAAAAAGTGTTTTCTAGATTTTTTACATAATGCTGAAGTATAGAAGTCTTGTTTTTGGCCTATTCACAAAAATAAATTTATTTTATCATTACTCATATTATAAACGCAAAATTTTGTATAGATGGTGTAACTGATTCACATGAAAACTACTGAATGCATCATCATCTTCCTGCCCTTGTCCCGTTTTATTTGGGGTCGGCGCAATATGTTTTTTCTTCCATTCTGTCCTGTCACTCGTCACGCTATCGCTAACTCCTCTGTCTTCCATATCACTTCTCACACAATCCATCCATATTTTCTTTGGTCTCCCCCTCCCTCTCCATCCATCCACATTTATACTCATGACTCTTTTTGTTACATGCTTGAAAACTACTGAATGCATTAAAGTGAAATAAATCACCGATTATAGTCTCGATTATCATATAGGCTACTTTTACCCCTGTACTACGAGCGAAGCCACTATCAAAAAGGAGTAGTCCATATTCCAAGTTTAAGTAATAGTTAACAAAATCCAGATGTAGATACTTTACAAACCTATTTAGTTAAATACTCAAATAAATATATTTTTTTTTGAATAAAATATCTCAGTTTAATTTTCTTAATGTCTTATAAATTACACTGTAATGTAGTGAAGGATTTAGACGACCATTTACACCTTGTTTATTTCAGTAATCATTTATTTACTAATGGCCAGCTACTTTCGTCGAGTCTTTTTTAAAGTATTTTTAAGATATCTTTGAAATGGTTTTAAAAATCAGAACGATTTTGTGCGCATTTTACTAACAATCGTGTTTTTTATACTCGTAACACTGATATTACATAATATTATTAGATTATTATTTTTTCAAAAAGTATTTGAATACCATTTTGTTTAGTCTTAATTAGAACATTGGAAGTCATTTATTTCTTTAACACCGAGAAAAAAATTTCAATATAAATATATAAATACACAAACATAACTTTTGTAAAATTACTTTAATTGTAATTTTTAGTTTTACTAAAATAAAAAATAGATTATTATTTTATGAACTAAAAAAACCGAAATACCAAGAAACAAAAAAACATGTTTATTGTTCTCAACAGTAAAATAACTATCTATGGAGCGAGAATTTTGCGCATTACATCACCCAATTCATTACAATTGTAATGACAATAATGAATAGGTACAGTATGACAAAATTTTCTAATAATACAAAAGTACCACCCCTTAAAGTGAGTCCTCCGAGAGTGTACTCACGCACACAGCACACGCAACAAGTCGCTTTATTTACACCAACTTCGGTACACCCGTTGTTTTTGTTGAACATACTGTACATATTACATGTAGTTCATGTGGTTTTTGTAGCTCAAGGAATGACAAAGGAAAATAGTTTTTTGTGTAAACTATATATTATGCTTTGTTTTCCCTTGGGTGTGATTTTCAGTTTTTCCTTCAGGTCAACGTTTTCTTGTTTAAATGTTTGTACGTAATTTATGGAATATTTCATATTTTTACGATTGTATTCTAAAATGTAATATTCAGTTCCTCTTAAAAAAAGAGGAGGCATATAAATTTTAAAAAGAAGTGATGGAATAGTGACATTTTCTTTAATTAAACTCTAGCAATATAAATGGAACAAATAGGAACGCCATTTTTTATCGGATATTTTCCTCATCATTATTAACGATCGATTGAAAACATTACCATTGAAATATCAAAATATAATATCAGCAAAAACTTTACATATATGACCTAAAATCGACTTTATTTACATAGAGCATAATTCTAAATTCAAACCACGTAGCCTTGGATCTGCAAAGAACGTTCCCACAAACACCTAGTTCAGCAAAAACGATTTTGAGACCAAATGTCAACGCAACAGGTCAGTATTTACACTAACAACTGAATCAATGTTGATCTCGGTCCGTTTTTCTGTTTAGTTGTGTCTGTTTAATCTACCTTTGTGTACATTCGCAGTACGGACGTGCTTTCATTTCAACCTCGGGGATTGAGAGTAAATTTTGTATTTAATAAAAAATCGTGTTTTGGCTTAATTGCGAAATAATATTATATTGTTAGGTTTAAATTTAGAATCTAAATCTATTCTTTTTTTAAATATTTTTTAGGTCTATTTCACCATTTCTCCATTTTTATCATTTAAAAGATGAATTTAGATTCTTATGGAATCCAATTATTCGTCAAACTGACGTTTGACGAATAATTTTAACTATTATACTTTATAGTTTAATTTTTTGTTTTTAACATACCGACGCCATCTGAATCGTCGAATTATCATACAAAATTTTATAAATTTTACTTATTAGAATATTGTTTTTAACAATTTTCATAATATCTAAAATGACGCCTACGCACCCTGATTTCAAATAACATTGAAATTCAAAAACTCTTTAACATTCACTTCAAAACAATTAATATAATTACTTAAGAGATTAATAGGGAAGTCAATGACCTATTATTTCGTGTGTATGTTTGTACAAACCACGCAATTACATCACGCGATAAAACAGCTGCAGCTCTTGACTTCACTGGTCTTGTGAAAAGAGGTTGAATATTAGCGCACTAGGGTTATAAAATTTAGGTAATTTTTAAATAGATGTTTTCTTCTGCCGTGTAAGAGATATGATCACTTATTAGTCCAAGTCATTTATTTGTTCCTTAAATACAATGTTGTATTTGTATTTGTATTATTTCCGAATTGAATACTATAAGTAGATAAATCATGAATGGATTAATATTTATTTAGATTTATTCTGGATTTCTGTCATTAGTCAGAGATCGAGGGCTCAAGATCAATCAAACAAGTAAAGCAGTAAATTATTTTTTGTTAAGTACTTAATTATCGTAAGAACTACAATGTTTTTGAATAATTATAACGACTTACTTAAATTAATCGAGTAAGATCTACTAATTCTAAGCCACAACTGAACCAATTCATGAGCAGCGTATATTTATTTTTACCGACTTCTTTTTATCTAGGATGCTTAAAAGTCTAACAGCTCAAAAGTACTCAAGTACAATAAGCAATCCATATCGCCGATTAAATAATCTTTATCAAAATATCTCCATACAGAAATACAAAAGAAAATAGTTTTCAACCCACATCAGACTCATTCAACGAGAAAATTGTAGGCGTTACACCACCAACCCTCAAAAGCCCACACTGTAATAAAATGTTGAAATCATAGATACCTATCCGACCTCATCCTGCTAATGCTAATGTCTGTGTTGCATGTTCACATCGACATATTAATAGTTGACACGCGAAACATCACATGTAAGAGGTCTGACTAAAGTTCGTTAACACGTAGCTAATGTGTGTGTGTGTGTGCGTAATTTTATTAAAAAAGGTGAGAGTATTTATTAGTTCGCATTTGGAAGGTTAAGAATATTGCAAGGGTGTTTTTAAGTTTTTTTTTACTGAATGTGGATAAAATAAAAAAAACTGTAGGTTGTTTTATTATGGATGAATATTTCTGTAAGTAGGTACTTGTTTAGAATTTTATTTATTCATATTTATAACATAAAGATAAGTATATTATTGTAAGCTAAGCCCCACAAAAGCGTTGCAATTGTTTAACTGCGGGTTTTGACTTCTTTATAGCAGTGTTACTCTAGTAAAAGTGTAAATCACATTCAGTTTTTTATTGTATTTGTATATAAACTATTTTGAGCCTATATTTTTATTATAACTTTCGTGAAACATTCTAAATTATTATGTTTTCGGCTTACTCACGTAATAATTTGACGAGATACTCGACTAGTTTCAAGCCATGCTAGACTAGAGATTTCAGTAGCAGCGCGACAGTCGCCGAGTCGCGTGTCGCGGAATGCTGCTCATGAATATGGGCCTCTAGCATGGCTTGAAACTAGTCGAGTATCTCATCAAATTATTACGTGAGTAAGCCGAAAATATAATATTTTGAGCCTTCTGATGAAAATTTAGAAGTAATAATAAGATTTTTTATCTTTAGCTTCCTATCGCTTATAGCCAGGTTTTTTTTTCAGTCACGTTTGCTTATTATTCTGCAAGACTCACACAAAACTGAATCAATGTGGTGGATTAAAATCGAACTCAAGTTCAAAATGGTTTAACAATCTCACAACCTGTTTTTACATACTCAAATAACACAGAAATCAAATTACTAGAAGTGACAAACTCACCCAGCGTGCGGAAGACAATAGGTCTACTCCTGTACTTATGACCGCCCCAAAGCGCGGCGACAGTAACTTGATACTGCGTATCTGCCTCCAATCCGCTCAGTATTACTGCGTCTGAGTTACCAGCCACTTCCAGCACGACTCTGTAACTAATAGACGATGAGTCAATTTCGTTGTAGTCTAGTAACAAGCTGTATACGATGAGGTCACATACAATGTTCTAGAAGATTCTAAAGAAAGGTAGGTACAGCATGCTCTTTTTTTGTTAGTGACATTGAAAGCTTGATACATCATGTTAGTAAAATCATTAACAACATTCTCATTTTCTTTGACACATGATATTGTTTACATTTGTTTAGATTGGTACGTACAGAAATAATATTTAGAGCTTAAATTATAAAATTGACAAATACAGATTGATTCGATATTTTTCTCACTAGTCTCAAATATACTGTCTTATTTATATACTGTAATGCGAAGTTGCACTTAAAATATGTGACCTCATCATCAGGAAGAAAGAAGTATGAAATATGTAGAAAATCACTAAAACAATAAAGGACGTATTATTTTTTATTAATCAAAAAATAAGACACAACATTTTGCCGGAATCTTTTTTTTTTATTAAACCCACGTCCTACAATTCCAAATGACCACAAAATTCATTGCCGCTTCAAATATCAAAAGAAAAATCTCATCTACCATCTACAAAAGGTGGCTGATAGCATTAAGAATACATTTTTCGTGATCACAATCCATTATCTTCTAATACATGTCTATAATCAATAGCATTGTCAGGAACTCCATCGAAACAAATTAGGGTTACACGGACAACAAAAGCACCGGTGTTTTCGCCAGGAAATTTATCGGTAATACGACTTCCGCCTGCCACCCCTACCTATTCCGTTTACAATTTGTGGTAAATTCTTTGGTTTTTTGTCGGCTATTGTGTCTATTTTTATTATGACAGCGAAGATTTTTTGGGGGTTTATTATGATAATCTTTTTAGTGTTTTTTTTGTGGCTTATAGATAACATTATGTGGGAGGATAACAGTTTAGAATCAAGTTAAGAAGAAGGTTTTCAGCTTACAATACAAATGCTGATTTTATTTTGTACAGTTAGTTATAAAACCGTGTTTGCGGATGCGAAAATAAAGAAAGCTGAAATTTTGTATTTCTTTCTTAAATTTAAAAACGAATAATATCGGGTTATGATAGCATTTTCTTCTGTGTCGTGGGGTCGTTAACAAACATACAATTTAATATACCTATACACGTCTTACCTAGACCCGGACAAAAATTGTAAAGTACACAAAGAGTTCTTCTGTGTGGATATCGATCTTTGACCATCTACCTAAGGGTATATTTTACTCTCTGAGAAATTTAAACCGGTGCTAACCAACCCACTTACACTTAACCCTAAGAAATATAATTTTCTAAAGTATTCAGAAGTGTATATCATTTATTCTAGTCTAGTGCCTGTATTATTTATATAGCCGAAGAGTAAAATCTTGTTCTTACACTTTGTATCTACCTGCAACGGTTTCCGCGGGGATTTGCAAGACTCCTCCAAATCCTTTCCCACTTGCATCCAGAATAAATTCACTTCGCTTTATTCTCTTTATGAAAAACTGGTTTTGCAAAGTTTAGCACTTTAACATGAAATATAAAATACGTGTTACGTTTTAATAATTTTCTCTTTAAATTATTATATCTATAACACTAATTTTATTTTAGGCTCTTTAATTACTGATTCAATCTTTATTTTCGTACTTGCATACCAAATATATCAATGCAAACCAGATCACGAGATCGATTATTATTTTATTAGGCATGACATAATTTAGTAAAAATTGGTATTCTTCTTCAAAAATAAAATGACTTGTAAAGATATAACTTGATATCCAGGCAATAGTTTGAAAGAATCATAAAAGTGTATAAAACTTTTTCTTTAATCTCTATGGATCGGAATTATGGCCTGTAATGGATAAACTACTACTAATAATATAAGATTAGATAATTTTATTTGCAATAACATGAGTGATATAACAGTACATAAGCATACGTCCAATGGTGTTATTTTCGATACATAAGCTTACATGTTATGCCGTCAGGGCGTACAAAAAAAGAATATAATGTAAATGTAAACATGGTACAGAAAAATTAAAAATACACAAAAACACGCTTGTAAAACTAATAAGAATCAAGTTTATCATTTAAGAATATAATTTAATAACATTTCTTGAGCAAAAGGGATTTCAGTCTCATTTAAATTATCAAATATTCTCACATACCTAATCATGAAGTTTCTTGCTCATTCTTCTCAATAGAAATCTACACTTTGGAATGAGCAAATAGCTTCACTACATCAAGCCACATAACCTTACTTAAAGTTATAACGACATGACTATAAAATTACATAACAACTTAAATAGGCAATAACAAACTTGGAGTGTAGATAAATGAATATATAATCAGACACTTAACAGCTTGAGCGATAAGTAATCCAGACTCAATTTGGTGGAGCAATGCATTAGAGAGCAGTTACGAAACTAGGAGGGAATATTCCTGACTTAAAAGGTCAACACCCACTATGTAGAGGCCAAATCTGAATACTGAAAGCTATTACAATACTCGCTTGTTGGTCGTGTGCGAATCGTGCAAAGAGTATTGGGTTTAATTTAAGAATTGGGCAAATATAATGTCAGAATAGTTCCAGTTATCCGGATATTTCTCAGTTTGGTATCAAGCCTAGTATATGGCTGTAGGTTCATCAGAGAACTGGAGAAAAGTAATAGTACATTATATATGTAGGTACACCTCTTTGTACTCTTTAAGAAATAAAGTGTACAAAATAGCAAAAAAGAAACAAAACACTTATGGATTCTTTATTTGTGTCTATCCGTCCATATGTCACAGTCACTTTTCAACCAAAATTATTAGAACTATACTACTAAAACCTTGGTCAGAATACATTTAATTGGTGTATTATGAAAACAACATTAAGATTGTCGCACAAACAAATACGTTATTAGGGGTGCCTTATACTTGGAATGGCCCACACAAATGTAAGAGGTCAACACCTTATTCTGTCATTTTACAGAAGCCCCATCTACTAGCTTCTGGGGATTATCAAAGTAAAACAACGTATTACTTGTACTTCTATTCTTTGTTCAGTCTTACCAGTTCAAAAACAAGGTATTTTTTTACCGTCAGGTAAGTCAAGCGAGTGCGACAACATGATTGCTTCAAATAAACCCGAGCCCAACCCTACATTTGCACTACTGCTTTCATGTTTCAACACCTTAACGATTTTTGGCACGACTTAGACTCAAATACGTTTATATAAGGTAAATATTTACCTAACATTCAAAAAATACAATAAACTAAAACTTTAACCTCGTCGCGAGGCTAGCGGTATAAGGTACCACTCAAAAACAGGAGAAGGAACGGGTGGTTTTCAGTCAGTTAGGGGGCAGTTCCATTGAGGCGGAGCGGAGCAGAGCGGAGAAGAGCTGTGCCGCGTTTCAACAATCACATGGCTTCATCGGAGAAGAGATGTGGATTTCAAGCCCGCCTCAATGGAACTAAACCCTCGTAAGCTGTCACTTCCTCTCACGAGAGAAGTCATTTGATAATTTTCCTTTAACAAAAATGTCTCTGTATTAAAAGTTGTATCTTTTTGAAGATTAATGACTCATAAGTTTCACAAAACTTTGCCAAAATGTGAAAGTAAATTTTAAAAATTTATAAAAACATTCTTGAGCATTACTTTGTTTCTTCTTTCTAAAGAAACCTTATTTTGATAGCTTTAATAACATTGTTTTTATCTTAAAGAATTCAGTTTATTTTTTTATATTCACACAATATAATTTTGCTTGTCCCAAATTTCTTCTCATCCTGGAATGAATAAGTCTGAGATACTAAACAAAACGTTTAACGAACTTAATTTCTTTTACTTGCAAGTTTACATACGTGTCCGTAACACTAAAGGACTTGAAGGTGCGTTGAGTGGATTGAAGATTTAGGGATTGGAGCAGGATGGGTGGAGGGGAATATTTGGGCTTCCGGTAATCGCACTCTCACTGCGGAACACAACTCTGTCGTTGAGTCACGCCGGTAATGGTTTGGTAACACCACTAATTTACATTAAAATATGAAAGAAAATAAACTTAAAACAAAATATACCTACCTGAAGATGGATCTATTCGTTTTTACATATTACGTCTTAAGAGCTCAAGATTATAAACTAGTGGCTATCATAGTAAGAATGTAAGAAAAAATATCGCTTGGAAAGATCTTGATTGTTTTATCTACAGAGTGTAGTGAAGCAGGTAAGCAGGTAGAAGCTAACAGATGCTGCTAACGGTTGAATATTAATCACAAAGTTCTGAAGTAACAGGTAACTTCTCATCCGATAAAAATAATCTCGTCGAAGAGAAGATTTATTTTAATAACAGTATCAAGAACAGTGAGGAAATTGTAAAAGTTGTAAGATAATTTGCTAAGTTATTTTTCAACTAAGACTGTAGACTGATTATTGACTTATTTAATTGACGTAGTCAGATTATTGAGTCTAAAATACCAATTCGATGCTCAATGATTGCGGGTTACAACCGCTATAAGGTTCTGTGAACCTTATAGCGGTTGTAACCCGCCTTGGCCTGGAGAACGAGAAAATACACAGGGTTTTCAGTCTGTAAGAGTCTGATGCTCCCATACTGCAGGTGAGAAAAGCCATTTGAAGATTTGCGCTTCACAAAAAAAATTGGATGAAGATTATTAAAAATAGACATCCAAAATTTCAAACACAAATTGCTGTGACTTGTAATAAATTTTCCACGTATAATTTTGGTTTAAGGACAAGAGATGACATAACATTGACATAAACATGATTGAAATCATTTTATGGTATCGATAAACTCGCAAATGTTAAGAAGTAATTATTATTACATGGATAACAGTTTTTATAAATTGTTAAAGCAATTAATTTGTTGTAAGAAATTTCTTAACTGTTCTAAACGCTATCATAAACTGAACTAGCTGGAGCTATCTTACAACAGATAAATTTAACCTACACAAAACTCTTTGAAACTCAAACCAAATCCAATAATCTCGAGACATTGCAGTAACCGTGCCCTTTGCTCTATAAACCTTGGCTTTAATATCGATACCTTAACATGTAACTATTTC